CTAGTTTACTTCTTACATGGGTTTTTTTGAAAGCTGTGTGATTAGAAGTTTTTGAGGGTTAATGCTGATAATTTTTACTGGTTTGTTTTTTTTTTTGATGCTAACTTTAATGTTAAAACATGTTTTAAAACTAAGTCAGTAATCAGCTTAATTTTCCACGCTATGTTGTTACACAGCAAGCTGTAAAACAATTTTAATATGTAATCTTGAGCATATTAAGTTGGACAGTAACTTCTGCAGCAAAGATGTGAGTACATCATTGCTAGAGACTGCTTTCCACACTTAGCTTAGCCTTTGTTAGGTATAATAGCGACATTGAAAATCTTTATCAGTGTCATCTTGGGTTTTTATTAAAGTAAATCAAAATATGGCAGATTTGGTAATACTTTTTGAGGGGAAAGCTTGTTTTTTGTTTACCAAAGATGACTGTTATTCCCTCACTATATCTGGTGAGGGAAAGAAATGCATATTTTTACTGATATTATTTAGAACTTGCTTAAGCAGGATTTCCTTCCATACAGCACTAATGCATCTTTAAGTTGGAGGTGGTAGATACGAGATGTTATCATCTGTAGTTGCTTTTAATCCTTCTTTTTTGCTTTCTAGGTTAAAGTTGAGACTGTGTTTAAACACAAAGTATTGTTTCTTTATTGCTAATAGAATGAGTTTGCGGCTCGTCTAAGTAAAATGGAAGCAGAACGGCAGAACTTGGCAGAAGGGATCACAGTAGCAGAAAGGAAGTATTTAGATGAAAAGAGGCGAGCTGATGAGCTTCAGCAGCAAGTCAAAGTAACTAAAAACCACCTAGAGTCTGCAAAACAGGAAATGACAGACTATAAACAGAAAGCTACTCGCATACTCCAAGTAAGCAAGTCTGTAAAGAAAACCAGCTTGATTTGTACACAACCTTTTTAAGGTGTTATGCTGCAAATAATCTGTGTTTTGGTTTTTTTATTGTGACCTTTGATACATTTTGGGGTGTATCTGTAATGATGCCTATACAGAACAGCTACCAGTCTGCATTTTGTAAGTTCCAGTTTACAGATGGAGGTAAGCAACTGAAGTGGAAGTTCAGGTCCTGGGCTTAAAAGAAAAATCCAGGTGAACCATTGCTCTTGCCGTGGTATGTCTGTCACTGTGTTTGGCATCCAAGAGTCCAGTCTTAGGCAGACAGATAGATGTAACCTACAATCTGTTCCGCACCCGGTATTCTTGAGTCAAGATTATTGCTCTGTTTTGACTGAGGCTGAAGCATAGCATATAATGGATACTTACATGTAAACCAAAGAAAATATTTTTTTATATTCTGAAAGGTTGCATGTGCTAAACATTTTAAAAACAATGGCAAAATCAGGTATTTTGTGCTGAGTTCTGACTTAAGTTGTCAAAGATACCAAGCCCTAACCCGGTCACTTTGAGTCTTGTTTAGAAATGTTAGCAAAATGTTGAAAATAAAGCTCTCTCTTTAGAATGATTAATTTAGTCTGATATCCAAGGACAGGTTTTTAAATCATCTTGGTAAATATGAAGAGCATGAGATCAGAAATCAATGTCAAGCTAACATTAGGTTGACTCTGAATAAAATGGTTCATCCTCTTTCCCAGAAGAGTTATTACTGTATTTTGTTCTTATTTGGCTTTGTTGGCAGGAGAATGGATGGGCAGAAAGGGGCTCAGTTTTGTCTTTCGTGTCTGTTAGTGTCTGTCTTCTCTCTTATGGTAGGTGGAAAGCTCAAATTGTTGCCCATTCCAGGCACTTCTAAGGAGAAAATTTGTACTCATCCTCACATAGCATAGGCTTTCAGTAAATCCAGTCTTATGGCATACAGGAAGTTAGAAAAATTATCAGTAGGGAAGTATTTTCATTTTCAACTGTGTAGGATCATTATTATCTTGGCTAAAAGAACAGGTTAAGAAAAGCTCTTTTACTGTATTTCTACATTTGAATTTCAGAGCAAAGTAATTTTGACATGTTCTAGTTGAGCACTTGTTAAATACTGCTATAAATAATACATTGATTTATTATTTCAGTCTAAAGAAAAGTTGATAAACAGCTTAAAAGAAGGCTCTGGTATTGAAGGCCTGGACAGCAATACTGCAAGCACAATGGAACTAGAAGAACTGAGACATGAGCGAGACACTCAGAGAGAAGAAATACAAAAACTAATGGGACAAATACAACAGATGAGAACAGAGCTTCAGGTAGCTATGGTTATGTGCACATGTATTTGTAGTCAACCATGCACAAAGAGCAATTTTTTTCATATACTTTAGGGCTGTTGCTTCTACTGTTTATTTGACGTAGTATTGAAAGAAGCCAACTTTTGCTTAAGGTGGGACAAATGCTTATTGATAGCCAATTTCTTTCCATGTTCTTTCTCGCCACTTCAGCTCATGGTGGGAGGAATACTAGAGATACTACTTCCCTCACTACTGTTTGCTCCTTTGGAGGGAAGCATTGCTTGCTAAACAAGCATGGTGATTTCTGTAGAGATCACCTATATCCTTTTTTGCAAGGGCTACTAATCCTTGAAGCAACTGTAATCTGAGTCATCTGCTGGCATAATTGGCTCAACCCAGCAGTTGCACGCAAGCCTACTTTACACTGTTTTACTTTCTAGACAGCAGAACAGGAAAAGTGGAGGCTTTTCATGTTCACAAAATGCATTTATTTTGTTACTCTGTTAGTAAAGATACTGTACATAAACCGACCAAACATAATTTATTCAGTACACTCTCATGTTCATTTTCCTTTTAAAAAATATTGTAGATACTTTTTTTGCTGTTCCCTGTGGCAGATTGCAGTATTGTTTGAAAATTAGTGAAGTGGTAACATTCCTGTTCATTTCAGGATATGGAGACTCAGCAGGTAAGTGAAGCTGAGTCAGTGAGAGAACAGCTTCAAGACCTACAAGAGCAAATAGCAGCACATAAAATGGCCAAGCAAGAAGCAGACGCTGAACTTGAACGGCAAAAGCAGGTAAGGAATTCTTGAAAGCTGATTGATGTTATTCTAGGCCTTGTGGTGTCATCAGTAAAGCGTTTGGCTTAATAAGAGAGTGGATTATATAGTATTTGAGCTATTTTTTTTTGTCTAGTATTCCAAAGAAATCCCCAAAAGCTTACTGGCCAAACAAGCACAACCTGTACTAAGCAATGGACAGGGTATTCTGGACACTCCTGAAAAACGGAGATCTCACTGATGTGTTAAAGAATAAACACTAGGGAGTGCACAAAATTGATCATTATCTTAAATTTTGTTCAATAGGGGAACAATCAAACAACAGGAATATAGAAACATTGGTAACTTATTTATATCAAGAAGCTCAAATACTAAAAATGGTTTCTGTGGAACTTCCTGTGCTCAATTACTACATAAGATGTAGCTTGTAAAACAATGTTGTTGTAGTACCAATTCATGGGTTTTATTTTATTTTTTTTAATCCACTTATTACTCAGTTATGTATCTAAATGTTGTTTCTTCAAAACTGCTCTAAAAGACAAATTGCTGATACAATTGTATTGGTGAATTTTGCCAGATGGTGTTATCTTTTTAAGCAAACTCTCTCTTAGTTTAAGCAGTTTTGTGTTAAAAAAGGGAGGTGGGGGAGAAGACCGGTATTTCATGTGAACGAACTTACTCAGTAGGAATCAGACAAATGCTTTTCAGCCTATTAAAACATTTCTCTGTGAGAAAAAACTCATGTAAAAAGAATTAATAATGAGAAGAGCAAAAGAGTACGCTGTATCTGCTAGGAACAATTTATCTTACAGGATTATCTGTCCTTCCAGAAATTACATTTTAATGAGATGATAGCAGCTTGCACTAATTAAAAGGCAGGAGTCGAGGTCTGCTCTTGATGGATAGCTGATGATTATTATATCAAAGCAGATGGTAGATTGTATTTTGTTACTCCTGCCCTTCTGATGGATAGATTTTAATTCAATACTAATACAGAAAAAGTGAGGTGAATTTAAAAAAAACCCACAAAGTTATCAATTATTACAGAAACAGAAGTTTTCCTTTCGCTGACACACATTTACGTGTGCTTTTAAAGTAATTGTGTGCACTGATACCTGATATGGTTTGTTCTATCTGGGAATTTCTTTAGCTGTTGCTATAAGGTTTGAGACTGGAGATGGAAAATAGGCAGAGGCGTTATGTTTTTGTGCACCTAATGGTTTGCAGGGAGAATGGGTTTATCTGTTTTCTGTAGCAACTGACAGCTGAAGTGATTTGAAGACTGTCTTAATTTAAAAGATAAGCATGGCAGGTCTTTGAGTCGAAATAGCCACTAAAATACGGGAGTAAGAAAACTTAGAGTTAGATTTACTGTTCAGTTATTTGTCCCTTACTAATATTCCTGCCCCTTTCATGTTGGCTGTGTTGATTTACTCTAAACTTTAAGGATAAATACCTTTAAATATTTTAAAGGTAAACATTTATGGGAGTATCTGTGTCATACAGAATTATAGATACATATGCCACTTCCAAAAACACTTCTAAAAAATGATATCTTGGATTGATGGGCTTATTTTAGGAACAGTTTTCTCCCCCTCCCAAAGCATTTCCTAATTGTTTAAGTTTTGTTGTTGACACAGTTTCAAGATAGCAATATAATAAACAGTATAAGGAAGATAAATCATGGTCCTGATGAAATTGTGTGACTTTTAGTAGACTAGTGTGGATTAATATTTATATTAGGTCAGTCTCCACAAAAAAGTTTAATAATAAGTCTTGTAGGCTGTGTTTTCATACTCATCTTTTTGTTATTGTTGTTGTTTTTTCTTCTTTTTTTTTTTCCCCATCCTATCCAGACACTTACCTAAGATTAAATTTCAGTTTATATTTGAAGGCAGCATATTGCCTTCTTCTGTTCTACTTTGAAACTCTAGATAAGAGAATGTATCTCAAAACACATGTATGTATTTTATTTGTAATTGTGATAAATTTTATAGGAACTCCATTATACCGAAGAAGAATTGTATCGAACAAAGAACACTTTGCAAAGCAGAATAAAAGACAGAGAGGAAGAAATTCAGAAGCTCAGAAATCAGGTACTATGTGTGTATAGAAAGTAATTTTATCACCTTCAGTTATGAAAACAGATGAGAACTATTATGTGTTTTAGGTGTACGAAAGAAACATAAAGGCTTTACAAATGAGTTAGGGTACTTGTTTTCAATAGAGAGTAAGGTTTTGAGTGGAGAGAGTACAAGAAGAGAAATGTGAAGTAGCAAATAGCCTGATGTGTAATCACATGTGCCTTTGTCTTTGGTGAGGGGGAAAAATACCGTCCTGTCTCAACTAGACCTGATGGGGTGGTGCTGGATCAGTGTTCTTCTTTTTGAAAACTAAAAGTCATTGGCATTTGATTAGGTCACAGGCTGAGAAAGTTGGGGCTGTTCAGCCTGGAAAAGAGAAGGCTGCGTGGAGACCTTATAGCAGCCTTCCAGTATCTGAAGGGGGCCTACAAGGATGCTGGGGAGGGACTCTTCATTAGGGACTCTAGTGGTAGGACAAGGGGTAATGGCTTTAAACTTAAACAGGGGAACTTTAGGTTAGATATAAGGAAGAAGTTCTTCACAGTGAGGGTGGTGAGGCACTGGAATGGGTTGCTGAAGGAAATGCTCCAGCCCTGGAGGTGTTCAAGGCCAGTCTGGACAGAGCCTTGGGTGACATAGTTTAGTGTGTGGTGTCCCTGCCCATGGCAGGGGGGTTGGAACTAGATGATCTTAAGGTCCTTTCCAACCCTAACTATTCTATGATTCTATGACTTCTGCTAAGATCCTTTTAACTGAACATAAGAACATAAGAAACATCCTGCAGACTCAGTGATCCATCTGGCCCACTGTTCTGTCTTGCACAGTGACAATGGGACTGGCATGTGAGCCTGACTGCTTTCTTCACTCTCCTGTACTCTCTCAGTATCAGCAGCTGAATTAGGGACGTTGGTATTTAAGGCCCTACTAAATTGCACCAATATGTTTATGGACCTATTTTCCTTGTACCAGTCTAACCCTGCTTGGAACCTTCTCATATTTGTCAGCCCCCACAGTCGTCTTGCGCAGCATGAAGGCATAGGTCTTGTTTTGTGTAAATTATTGTAGCATAAGAAAGTAGTCTATATGTAGAGAAAGTAATAGTTGTGTACGATCAGCTGTGTAATTACAGTGTCAGAGGATTTGGAAATGGTGATACAAATTTCTTGAGCCCATTGGCAGATGATTCTTCTGGTACTGCTGGCTTCAGAACTGTCTGCACCTGCACTGGTGCATGCATCTAAGTTGTGATTTTGGTATCTCACTGCCTCTGTTTCCTGATGATTCTGGTTTTTTGTTGTGAAGCTATGTCTTTGTGGTGTATAATGCTACAAGTGGCTGAAGTCCGAGACTGTAGTGAATAGATGAGCTATTGCACATACAGCTAATCTGGAGATTCCCATTTGATTTAAGTATTTTCTACACGAGTGACGTGATCCATTTCTCCATTTGCTGTCCTTGTAGTTTCTATTTGCTAGTACAGTCATGTTTTTATCCTCAGCGTTCCTCGAATTGCATTTTCACCATTTTCATCCAAGGCTTCCTGTAGAATGGCGTCAGATTCTCCCCATGTGTACAGAGTGTTTCCTTCCTCACTTGAAAACATTTCATGTACTCACTTGTTTTGTCAAGTTGCAGGTATGATAGCCAGACTGGTTTATCTTGCAATTGTCATTCCTACCATTTAAATTCCACTCTGAGGCATAGCACTGTTTTTTTGTGATCAAACTTACGATTATACAGAAATGTTCATATGATCAGAGGTGGAAAATATAGGAATACATTTTTAAGAAGTTTCTTGTGTCTTGTAAAATATTGTTCTAGTAACTGTCAAAATTAAGTTTATTGTGCTCATTGGTGATAATTTTGATGGTACTATCCCGTAAAAATTCTGCAGTGGGATAACTTGATTCTCAAAGGGCTTAGATTTTTAGAGTTTTGTAATATGTCAGTTGGTCAGAATTGAACATGCTCTGATTTTTTTTCTTTGTTTTCTTTTTTTAGCTGACAAACAAGGCTCTAAGTAGTAGTAGTCAGACAGAATTAGAAAATCGGCTTCATCAGCTGACAGAAACACTGATTCAGAAGCAGACCATGTTAGAGAGCCTGAGCACAGAGAAAAACTCACTTGTCTATCAACTGGAACGACTTGAGCAACAGCTGAAAGCTATCCAAGGCACTAGTACTAATGGACCTTCTATTAATATGTCAGGCATTGATGGTGCTGAAGGTAAATAAGGAAATTGAATACTTAAAACTCTGTCCTTTCTGCAGTTCAGGCTTTTATATTTCCTAATGCCTTTCCCTGAAAGTCTAAGTTTATAAGGAGAGAAAAAAAAAAAAGCAGCTGAAAATGTGACTTATGCCAGAGACCTTGTCAACAGCAGTTAGCAAAAAATAGTTAAGCAGAAGCAGCTTTTTGTGTGTTGATGACTTTAAATTTAATGCAGTTGGTTTTATATTTAGTTCTTAATACTATGACACGGTTGGAACAAACATTTACAAATCCTAACACAGGTGCAAATAAATCTGTATTTTGGTGTTTAAACTGAATGCCAGAAGTAGGATATAAGGCTTCTCTTGTAACAAGGGTTTGAGAAGTGAGCAAGAATGGGATACTTGCTTTTGACAGTTAATTAGAATTCTGGTTGAAATCAGTTTCCTCTCTGATGGCTGTTTTTATTGAAAAGCATCTTAAAATACAGTGGTTCTGTTGAGGCTGGTTTGTCTATATTGTGTGGCAATCACCCTCTATCTTTAGGAGAACTTTAGCAGTTGATTTATGGTTTTAAGATGTTACTTTCCAAAATCAAAGTTTGTAATTTCGCGTATATGCTAAGTAACTTTTAAAGCAATGGACAATTACTAGGAGGTGTGACATGACAATCCAGCCTTCTGTTTCCCTGCTTATGAAAGGCTTTTAAAAATGGGAGGATAACTAGATTGGAAATACATTTCCTTTTGGTTTGTTTTTAAGTAAGTTTGGTAAGCTTAAGTTTAGTTGCACACAGGTCACGTTATCTGAGAATCTTTTTATTAACAAAGTTGATACATAGTAGAAATGTAAATAAATAGAAATTTTTGGAATATACAAGTTAGGATCAGAAATGCTATCCAACTTCTACTGCATGAGAAATAAAAGCAAAAGGAGAAACTGTGACAGTACCAAACTCATAATTTTATATAGCTGATAATGGAATTATTACTACATGCTAGAATTGAATATCAAGATGTCCATCTAGTGAGCTATAATAAATTGTAAAAATATACTAAATTAAAGAAACATTTGACTTGGTTGTAAGTTTATCAAGAATTCTGCCCTCAAAACACACTTCTCTGCCCCCAGCAAAATGGCACTAATAAATCAGGTCAATCACTACTTATTACTTTTATATATCTATGTTATACACTAACAATTTGTTTTACTTAAACAACTCAGCTGATTTTAGACTAATGAGATTTTGGGGTTTTTTTATTCCCTTCAAATAGGTGCTCGTATGCGTAGTGTTCCTGTCCTGTTCAGTGATGTGGATGCTAACATGGCAGGAATGTATGGGAGAGTTCGCAAAGCTGCCAGTACTATAGATCAGTTTAGGTAAGAGTGTCCAAAGGGAATGCATTTTGTAATTGCTGAATCCTTTTGCAGTTTTCAGGTGGCCCAACTTCTGTTTTGAATTGCTTTTACGAAGGTAAAAGTGAAAAATAATGAAGCTAAAGTACTGTCTAAATTATTTAATATTGACCCAGTTCACTTATGCTTTCCTGTAATATTAATATCCTTGGGCTTTTGCAAATTATAGTCAATTATTTAGGCAACACTCTTGTAGGTTTTGATACAAGAGAATCACTAACCTGTGTACAAAAATGCCTAAACTTTTTCATTGCCATCTTCTACCTTTCTCACTTTGAGGCTTTGACTGTGTCTGTGATAAATACTGTTAAGACTGTATTAGTGGGGGAGTATCATAGATATTCTTTTACTCCCATTTAGGCATCCTGGTGAAGACAAGTTTCTGGATTCTGACCCTGTGGAGCTGTTTAGCTTGAAAGATAATCTGAGGAATTAGTAAACTAAAATCATTCTGGATCCAGCTAAAGTCTTGGCTTAATCCTGTTTCTGAGCAGTTAGGTTAATTGTCAGTATTCACAACAAAGGTCTGCTCCAAAACTTGAATCAAATACCAGTAGAAAAGCAGATTAGGTAATACTTCATAATCCTTTGACAGCAAGATACCTTGATAGAAAGTCCTTTGTGCTTCCATGGTACTTTAATTTCATTTTGAAGAATATTAGGATTTCCATGATGTGACATTTTAATACTAAACTTTATTTGGCAGTATTATACTCTCTTCAGTACATGATTTTTTTAAGTGATGTTAATGGGCAACAGTGCACATATCTAATGCAGTATACTTGATAGCACTGCAGCAGTAAGCCTGGAAACCAAGTTTGTCCTTCTCATCTGAGAATGCTAGTGATCTATCAGGTTTTTCAAAGGAGTTCAAGGTTTTACTTGCTTAAACTTTTTTGAAATGACAGCTGTTCAAGTAACAAAATTTGACAAAAATATAGCATATTTGAGTTTTAAAATACCTGTACAACTCTTGAGTCTTAGCTCTTTTTCAAGAACTCTGAGCTTCGCATGTAACAGAAAAAAATAGGAGAATACGTTTTCTGGTCTGAATTCTGAACTTTCTTACTCCATTTAAGGTCTTGAATACATAAGGTAAAGTTCAAGTCAGAAACAAAGCCATGTGTATAACAGCAGCTGATCTTTATGAGTTTGTCATGATTGGAATGAGGCAAACAGGAATTTATTGCTCAGTGTTAACTTGTACATTTTGTGTTTTGTTGTACTTGTGTAGCATTCGGCTGGGAATCTTTCTAAGGCGGTATCCCATAGCAAGAGTCTTCGTAATCATTTACATGGTGAGTAAGCTTTCTTTAAAGAAAGCAGCTTAATGCAAGATTTCCACAGCCAATTCATGTAATGTGTCTTAAATTGCAAAGTGTTTCATGTTCAGAAGGCTATATAATTAAGAACTCAATGTATTTTTTTGTAAAATAGACTAAATAGGGCTTATATAACAGCATTTTGGAGTTACGTTGCTGTCCTGGGTTCAGCTACAGCAGTCATTTTTTCTCCTTCTTAGTAGCTGGTGCAGTGCTGTGTTTTTGACTTTCAGCCTGGGAACAACTCTGATAACACCGATGTTTTCAGTTGTTGCTCAGTAATGTTTACTCTGACCAAGGACTTTCTCAGTCTCATGCTCTGCCAGGGAGGAGGGGAAGCCGGGAGGAAGCAGAGATAGGACACCTGACCCAAATTGGCCAAAGGGCTATTCCACACCACAGCACATCATGCCCAGTATAGAAACTGGGGGGAGTTACCCGGAAGGCCCAGATCGCTGCTCGGGTCGGGCTGGGTATCGGTCGGCGGGTGGTGAGCAGTTGTGTCCTCTCCCCTTGTTATTTCCCTTATCATTATTATTGGTAGCAGTAGTGGTTTGTATTATACCTTAGTTACTGGAGAGCTGTTATCTCAACTCGTGGGAGTTACATTCCTCCGATTCTCCTCCCCATCCCCCCGGGAGTGGGGGGTGGAAGGAAGAGGAGGGGAGTGAGCGAGCGGCTGCGTGGTTCCAAGTTGCCGGCTGGGCTTGAACCACAACAGTTGCTTGGCAGTTTTCAGTTTTTCCCAGGAATTCTTAGCATAGCAGTCTTAAAGACTGTGTATGTAACTACCATTTAAAAGACTATAGAAGCAGATTTTTAGTACTAAAATTGAGAATTATGGTGACCTGTTGCCAAAGTTAACCCACCACACCTGTGCACTGCTGTCCTGGGTTCAGCTACAGCAGTCATTTTTTCTCCTTCTTAGTAGCTGGTGCAGTGCTGTGTTTTTGACTTTCAGTCTGGGAACAACGCTGATAACACCGATGTTTTTAGTTGTTGCTAAGTAATGTTTACTCTGACCAAGGACTTTCTCAGTCTCATGCTTTGCCAGAGAGGAGGGGAAGCCAGGAGGAAGCAGAGGCAGGACACCTGACCCAAACTGGCCAAAGGGGTATTCCATACCACAGCACGTCATGCCCAGTATATAAACTGGGGAGAGTTACCCGGAAGGCCCAGATCGCTGCTCGGGTCGGGCTGGGTATCGGTCGGCGGGTGGTGAGCGGTTGTGACCTTTTCCCTAAAAACAACTGCATTTAGGAAAATGACATCTGTTACAGCTTTTTTAATATTTGGCACTTTGATTTTTGTTCAGTGCTTAATAAGAATAGGTCTCTAGCTGAAAAAGTAGCAAGAAAGGTTTTTCTTGCTAAACTTAAATAGTAGAAACTTACTCATCCATACCAGGTGGATTGTCAGGCCGGCAAGTGATAAAAGTGAAATTCTTCCCTTTTCCACTGGAGGGCAGATGTCTGTCAGTTGAGGTGACCTGTGGCCAGGTAGGTGTGCAGTGTACCCTGCTTGAAAATACTCCGCTAAGTTGAGGCTTTGAGGCTTTGAAAAGAAATCCACGTTGCTTGAAGAAGGCATAAGGATTCATCTGAACAGAGCTTCTGAGGAAAGCTGTCACAATTTCAGGATACAAAGCAGGCAGACATGCATGAATAAAGAAAACTACAGTTTCCCCTTGCAATTGCTTCTTCCAGCTATTAAGTACTGAAAGGAACAGGGCTGTTTGATTCCTAACTTCTCTCTTCCTATTCATCCCTTAGACTTATCAATATATGAATAAAATGCTTTGTACCAAAGCACTGAAAACTTACTGCTTAAGCTGCAATCTGAACTGGAATACAGTGATCGTTCGTAGGAGCTGTATATTGAACAGTCTGTGGCAGCTACCCTTGTTCAGCTCGAACCTTGGCCATGACTGTTGTAACTTGTTTAATTTTTTTTTTTTTTTTTTTTTTTTTTTTTTTTTTTTTTTTTTTATGTATTTTTTTTTTTTTTTTTTTTTTTTTTTTTTTTTTTAAGGAAATGTGGTTTATGTATTCTGTCAGTTACCTCTGTTGTAACTCCAGCAAATTCTATTCTACTTGGATAGTTTCAGCCAAATTTGAATGAAAATTAACATTCCTACAGAATTCATAAAAATGCTTCAAATTGATGCCTGTGGTAAGCAGAAGGGAAGCAGAACTCAGCTGTTTCACACAGGCTGGTAGCAACCAGTTGGCAGAGGAGTAGTGCCTTACCAGTCACTTGAGGCAGATCACATAATGTGGTGGCTGGGGGCTGGATATCAGAGAGAAGAGCTGCAGTTACTGGGCCATGGAGGAAAAGAGAAGCTAGAGGACATAAAGGTGTAGGAAACCAGGCTGCTTTATTTTTGCTGTTTGTGTAAAGTTTTTAGTTTTCTGCAGATGGCTTCTTCAGAATCTGACTTGGCATTTCATTGTACAAATAAGAATTCCTTTTTTTAGGAGTATCTGAATAATAGGAAAAACACAATCAAAATGTTTCTACAAAACTAAGTTTTACTAGCTCTCATACTTAATGCTGTTGTGAATGATGATTCACAGTGCTGGTTAAGTTCTCTTTTTCTTTTCCCAGGCATTGCTTCATCTCTGGGTCATGATTGTTCTGCTTACCTACACCCCAGAAATGCATGACAGTCCCAGTGGCAGATAGACTGAGACAGGGCCATATGCTCTGCTAACGTGATTCAGACTGGGAGCGTCTCTGGAATAATCAGTCCTGAAATATCAGCAAACTTTTCCTCATGGTGTTTAGGAAGAATGAAAACCATCATGCCTGATTTATCACTACTGTTCAGATACATGTATAATAATACATAGCTTTTTCAATTTACCTAAAGGAACATCACTTTCCTGGAGAAATAAAGCTAATAAGTTAAACTGTGGTTAGCCTTTATGTTTTTTGTAGATCTGGTGATTAAAGATAAGGCTTGCATCTATGGAGAAATGCAAACATTTCTGACATTGCAGATATACATGGTACAAATTATTTTAGATCATACTGGATGTGGGATGTGGTCAGGTAATGAACTGTACTTAGCAGTTTAAATAAACTTTATTATTTCTGGTTTCTTGCAGTCTGCTTTTGCAGTTCTATTTTTTAACTTTGTAAATAGGAGGCTTTTCCTTAACATGTTAAACTGAAAAAAGGACAATGGATTGGTGCAATATCTTTTTGTAAATAAGTTTAAAAACAAAATATTATGGATTCTTCTTAGCTTTGTACTTCTAGTGCAATAGATGTATCTTTTTCCTACCAGCTGAATAGTGAGGTTGCCTATATACAAGCTGGTATTTTAGCTTTATTACGGAAAGAGAGAGATGGTTTTGAGAACGGTTTAAACTCTAAAAATAACAGTGTTTCTTTTTGCACTTGAACTTTATGTATTTTAACTGCATTTTCTTATACCTCTCATTATTACATGTCTTAATCAGATCTTAGATTCATTGAAATATTTATTTTCTAAAGCTTTGGGTACTTAAAACTATTTCTATATAAAATTATCAAAACATCAAGAATTTCTCATGTCTAAACACTTAACAAATATACTAATAAAAAACCAATCAAATAATTTATTGTAAAATCCATAATGCCAAACCTACTGTAATAGTTCTGTTGCTAGACAGTTCTGTGGCATTCCATAATTGTGAATTATCAATACACAATAATGCAAGGTCACTTTTCTTCCCTAAGAAACGTCTTGTTTTCGTGCGTGGTGCTCAAAGCTGAGTAATGAAAGGATGACTACAAGCAATCTGTCGCTCCTGCACTTAAGAATATGGTTCAGTTTTCACGTGTCTTGAACACACTAAGCATTAGGTCCTGTGCATGAAGTCTGTCGTCCTAAGTCCTATGGAATTGTTACAGTAGCCAAATGACTGTATTGCTGCTCTGATTCAGATCTTGCAGAGAAAACTGAAATGTTTTGATGAACTCAGTAATAAAAGAGCATTTGCTGTAAGCTGTGTCCCTGCACTCTGTCCCAGTTACTGAACTTTGCCTGTTGCCTCTTTTCTTTTAAGTTCTGATATTAAAGCCATTTTTGAACCCTGGGAAGAGTTGATTGCTGTAGAAGATTGGGTTAAAGTCCTTCAAACAATCTTTTTCCTGTACATACATGTTTTGGTTTGTTTTGGTTTGGGTTTTTTTGCTTGGGTTAGGGTGGGATTTTGCTTGGTTGTTTTTTTGTTGGTTTTTTTTTTGTTTTGGTTTCTTTTTTTTGGTGTGTGTGTGGGTGTTTTGTTTTTCCTCTTTGGATACTCCAGTATATTGTGACAGTTTAGGGAGAACATTCTTAGCAATATAAGCCCCTTAAAAGCTTTGGTGACATCACACTAATTGCACATCTATTCTTGTTTCCTTTCTCCGTGCTTTTTTTTTTTATTATTTTATTTTTTTTAATACTTTTTTTTTGGTTTGGTTTTGGTTTTGGGGTTTTTTTTTTTGGTTTTTTTTTTGTTTTTTTTTTTTAAGAGCTCACCTTTTGGCATGTACAGGTACTTTTAATGTAACTTAGTAAAGCAACTACAGCGCTTCTAAAGGATGTGATTATTTCTTTATTTCCCCCCCGCCCCTTTGTGCTCAGTTTCCATGCTGTGCTCAGCGGGACAGTGCATTGTGCCACCCTTCTGGAAGAGGGTGAGATGGCTGGCAGCAGGCTCGGGGCAAGCAGTGGGCAGGCCGCAGGCGAGGGTGGGAGCTGCTTGGGCAGAGGAGGCTGCAGAGGGATACAGAACTTTCCTTCAGTTCTTCCAGATTTTGTGCTAGAAATTTTACAGGGGTAAGCACTGAAAGATTCCTGATGACATGTGCCTTTGAACGAGGCTCTTGTTTTCCACTGTCAGTTTGGGCATAGGTAGCGTTGACCCCTGTGATGTCTTACAGTTGAGAACAATGCCTTTAGTGCAGATTTTGTTCTTGACCTCTTTCTGTGTGTTGCTGTTTCTGTTTTTATTCCTTGTCCATGAAATTATGTGTAATGTACTTCCCTTGCTGCACCTTCAGTTCCCATCATTGCTGTCTATTAATTTTCTTTTCTTTGTTTTTATTTTAAAAATACTTATTAAAAAAGGGCACAGCTGTTTGAGTACTTAATTATACTCTGATTTTAAAAAGGTGTGATATTAACAACTGAATTGTAAATCAGTATGTTTTCACCTAGTAAAAAACCTGGAAGTAGGCACCTTATAGTCTCAATTGCTTGCCAGACAAAGTGTGGAGTGTTTAGTGTGGAGAGTAATGATGTGGGATAAGGAAACAAATGCCACTAAAGGATATGCTACAGTTTATGTAAACACCTTTAAAGCATAGGACAGATAGAAGAGTAGGAAAAGCCTTTATTATGGTGTTGAACTGTTTCAGAGCTATACGAGAAATACAAATAATTACTCCTTAAAGCGTTTGTTTAAGCACACTGGATTTTTGCCCCGTAATTTATTTTAATAAGCTGCACATGATGAGATGCAAGAGCACACATGCCCATGTGATGGAGTCTATCTGAATATAAATGTCGAATATTTAGTTGAAGGGTAAGATACACTCCCTGCTTCCAATTAGTCATGCTGGGCTCCAATGCCACCTCTATAGATCTATAAAGTGGGCCACAGCTATGGGTCAGAGGTGACATAAGGACACCATTTTGCCAAGCAGCTCCTAATGGTGTCAGGAGGTTGCCTTACTGAACAGATGGCTTTGGAGTAAAAAAGAAGCTTCAGTTGGCCTTCATCTTAAGTGGCAGGAGGCTATTCCAAGTGCCAAGTGTGTTCTTGAGGGACTATCGTACTACTGGGCAGTTAAAGTACCCCAACTTCGGAGACCAGCGTAGCAATTTAGGGGTTTTAAAAATATTTCATAAATGCTAAGCCTATCATTCCATGCTCTGCAGCTTAACACCAGAAATAAATGGTCAGAATAACTCACAGAAAATAGGAATCTCTGTCTCCCAGCTGCTCTATCTCACTGCCTTGAGAGCACGACAGGCTACTGTGTGGCTGAAGGAAAGTCCTTTTTAATTTCCTTTCTCCTAGGACTGAAACTGCTCCAGGTACCAGTGTTCACCTTGAAAGAGATAAAAGATGAAAAATGGAGAAGGTTGATAGGGAACATCCAACTGTTTGTTTATATTTATTTCCTCCCTGCCCATTTGTGCTCAGTTTCCATGCTGTGGTCAGAAGGACAGTGTGCATTGTGCCACCTTTCTGGAAGAGGGCGAGAGTAGATGTCCCCTCCGAGACGGCTGGCAGCAGGCAGACCGCAGGCAAGGGTGGGAGCTGCTCAGGTGGAGGAGGCTGCAGAGGGATGCAAAATCAAGGTATTTATTATTTGGTATTTTGCAGCCTAGAAAAGGCTTATTTCTTTCAGATGCTGGTCGTCTTGGTACATGTTTAATTAGGTAGATGTACTCAGTGCCAGATTTGGGTTTCTGTGAAAAAGGGCTTTTTGTGAATACTCAGGAGCCCTTGTGCGACAACAAACTCTTTTTTGCAACCTTGCTTTGCTCGTATCTGATCCCTCTGCTTTATTAGCTGTGCTAGGTCAGCCATATGTATACCAAGACCCTGTACAAAGGAAGTGACCTTAATTGCAGATAACATTAACAAGGGGAAAATCAGACTTGCACACTAATTAATTTACTAATTTCTCATCAGTATCGATGAGACAAATGTTGCCTTACCATGGAATGGATTTCTTTGCTTCCCTCTTTCCTTGTTGGCCAACTGCAGTCTGGTTGTAAGATTTGCCATGAATGTATTGCTAGGTATTTAGCCATGAAACTGTAAGGCAATTTTTTATGAATAATACAGAGAATTCATTATAATTTCAAATGTTCTCCTCTGTATGTTACTGCCTTGCTCTATGGTTTGAGTTTAGAAAGCCTTGTCTTGGGAACAGGCAGACAGATGACAGCAGAGCTGAAATTATGAGACATGAGTAGTAGCTCCCCAAGTTATCTGCATTATTCTAACAGATACCCGTGCACTTGTATAGATGATCCTCTTAGATACATAGATTCCTTTCAGATATGCGCTTATAAACTTAATCTGTGTCTTACTGTACCTGATGTTGGGCTTCTGGCAGAACTGGACCCCACCACTGAATTCCACAAATAGTGGAATAATTTCCCAAGCTCTCCGTACCTAACCTTGCTTTTGGCCAATATCACTTGAATTAAATGCTTGTGCATCAAGGATTAAGTGCAAGTTGTTCAGAAGTATCCAATACTACAGGCAGCTCAAGGAACTGGGAGAATTGTGGATCACTGAATAGATCCAAGGTGTAATTAAATCAAGATGGGGGAAGAACTTGGGCTGGGAACACGAAGACACTTTTTGAAGTTGGAGGGAAAAACCAAAAGCTGCTGGTTTATGATTACAGATCTTGGCTAATGATGTGGTTAAAAGTCTGACACCTCAAATCTCATGAAAGAGACTTCTTGTGAGAAAATAGAAGATAATAAAAGAGAAGGAATGACCTTTTTGTGCCATAACTTATGATTTTCTAATAAGGAATCAGAAGCATGGGTGGGTGTTATGTCTAAGACTGACCTTCCCTGTGCTGAAACTCATCAGAGTTGCATATGCAGCTTTTCATGTTTGCATTTTCAGTTCAAATCAGACAAATTGTATTTTGGGTCCACATTTGTTAAAAAGAAGCTGGAGGAGGAAGCAAATAAGCAGGAGTTTGAGCTCTGTAGCAGCAAGTGGATGGGCTCCAGATGTTCTGCAAAATCAAGCAGGTGTGTTTGGTAAAGGTCTGTTGTAAGACATTGATGTTCTCATTCACTACAGCTACCAAAGCAGTAGTTAACCAATTGCAACAAAATACCTGATACGACATAGGAAAGATCTGGGCTTGGAGGAATGGGACAGAGTGAATATTGGAATTTTTCCACACAGGAAAGG